GTATTAGAATATATTAAGTTATATAAGACGTAATTACCCCTTAAGTAAAGAGCTTATATCGGCTACTTAGTAGGCTATAGGTTTACTTAATAATACGTTATATAGATACCGTTAATTAAATAAAATAAACTAATAGTATTAGCTAATATATATTTTAATAAGTTTATAAACTATAATATAAATAAAAAAGAGTAAGCCTAGCTAGTCTAAATATATAGCTATAATATCCTTAGAGATATAGCTATAACTAACGTTATAGATAGCGGGGAACCTAAAACCTTTAAAGTACTAAGTTTATCCGATAATAATATAGATAACGGTTAGACGCTAAAAGAAGTAATTACCCTCTTATAGGACCTATTACCCCTATATACTCTAGAAGAATAAGGATTAAAGACGCCCTTATAGGCATTATATAAATATATATATCTTTCCCCTTTAAAAATAATAGGCCTAAGGATAGAGATTTTAATATTACCCCTTCTACTTAATACTATATTTAATATAGAGTTACTAAGCTCTATGCCTCCTATGCCCGTAATAGATACTATAGCTTGCAACCCCTCCTATATCTTATTAAGGAGATAGCTTAAAGATATAATACTTATATTAATCGACTTATCTCCTTAAGACGAACGCGATAATATACCTCTTAACCTAAGGGGTAAAGGAACGATTATAGTATAGGTTTAAGAAGATAACCCTTAGTCCGAACCCTATACCCTTAACCTAGCGGTTAGTAGGGCCGGCTTAAGGATATTATAAATATAAGAATAACGTAGATAAAAGGATACGTTATTAAGGATTAACCTAAGTAACGTTATTAAAGGAAAACGGGCTTATAGGCCTAAGAGATCCCTTATTAATAATATTATTATAAAGGTAAGTAAGTATAAGCTTTACGTTAAAGATATACCGCCTCCCCCTACTTCTTTTAACGCGGCAATAGCTTTAGAATTCGTATATAAGTAAAAGGAAGCTAGAAACAGCGAAATAAAGGAAAACCTAGTAAGGGGTATATAGAAGACTATCCTAAAAGCTATTATTAAATAGAAAGGTTACTTCCTAATCCCCTTACGTTAGGTCTTTATATATAAGACCGATAAATAAGGGTATATTATACGCTTTAAAGTATATACTATAGTTTATAGATACTTATAACCTAAAGGTAACGAGGATATATATATAGCTATACTATAAGTATAAATATTTCGACTACTAATAGCCTTCTACTACCTTAAGGACTTCGAGATAAAATAATATAACGTAAAAATAGTATATCTATATATAATCCTATACTAAGAAGTCTATTACTAGCCTCTACTAGGATTCTTAATACCTAGGCTATGCTTAAAGCTATTAAAAGCACTATATAGGCTCCGTATCTCCCTAAAGCTATAGTTTAAAGAGATATCTAGTTTCTTTACTAAACTAAGAGCCTAGTAGCTAGTAGAAGACGCCTACGTATTAGTCTATAAGGGCGTTATTATCTTTATCTTTATAGATAATATCGTTATAATATATCCTAAAGGGCAAAAATAAGACTAGGAATAGCTATATAAGGCTATTATAAAGAAATATACCGTTATATATATAGGAGAGCTATGCTAGTTCCTTAGCATTAAGATTATTAGGGATAGGGATCTTAAGAAAATATAGCTCTCGTAAGCTTCCTATATTTCTAAGACCGCGAAGAAATATTATATCCTTAATAATAATATCCTTCGTAAGCCTAAGATCCTACTAATAATAAAAGAGCTCGTCCCCTACGAAAAGCAAGCCTTAAAGGAAGAGATATATAAATATATCTCTCTAATTAGGTCGCTTATTTATCTAGCAATTTATACTAAGCTAGATATTATATTTATAGCTAGAAAGCTAGCTTAATATAATTATAACCCTAGGCCGCGCTATAGGCATAAAGTATATAAATGCCTAGCTTACCTCTATTATATAAGAAACCGCTATATCTACTTTACGGCGATAAACTTAATAAGGCGGCTAATATATATATCCGACTCCTTATACGCCGATAACCTAGAGACTAAGAAGTCCTTATAAGGATAAATATTCTTATTCCTTAGTAGGCTAATTAACTAGAAAGCTACTAAGTAAGCTATTATAATAATATCCTTTATAAAAGCTAAATTATTAGTACTCTTATAGATAGCTAAGGAATAGGTAGTATTTAGCTAGCTAATTAAGGAGCTTAGTATTAATATTAAAGGGACTATAGAGCTCTAGTATAATAACCTTTAGACTATTAAGCTTCTAACTAAATTAAGCGCGAAGCTTAAGATAAACCTTAAGCACGTTAACGTTTATAGATACTAGCTTTATTAAGAGGTATAGTAAGATTAGATATAAGTTAACTAAATCGAATTAATAGATAACCTAGCTAATAGTATAATAAAGGCGCTTATATACTAGAAGTATTAAAGCTTTATTAAGTAACTAGGGCTAGTAATACGGCCGGAAGATATATTAGGAGATAATATACCTAACTACTATATTAAGGCATAATATCTCCTTACTATAGCGAACTCGATAATTACTAGATCCTAATAATAAAAGCACTACTATATATACTAAGATTAAGGGATTCTAATAGCGTAGTTAGATCTTAATTTAGTTAAGAAACTATAAAGATCTAAGAGGTAGAGGTTAGCCTTATTTATTACTAAGAAGTAAAGCTATTACTAGACTACCCCTTAAATAGTATAATACTATAGCGCTTAAACTTACGATAATCGCGATAGCTTTATTAAAATAAGCCTAATTAATATAAGGAATATATTATTAGAAAGCCTACCTTTAGGATTACTTTTATCCTAAAAAGACAACGTTGCTAGCAAAGGTACTACGGTACCTAGACTACTTAAAGGGATGCCCCGCTATGCCCCTCCTTATAAGGAAGGTTATAAATATAACTTATAACTACTAGTTAAACGGTAAGAGTAGGTTATATAACCCTATTAATCGTAAGTTCGACTCCCCCTAGGGCGAAAGAGTAGGTTATATAACCACGCCCTAGGGGGGGCGCGGTTAACGAACTTAGGGGCCCGAGGAGATAGGATATAAGGAGGGGGGTTCTCCTTATATCCTATCCTCTCGGGTCCCGGCTTTTGCCTTTTACTGCATTTACCTTCCCTTTTTATAGGATATAATTAGGAGCCTCCCCTATTTTTAGACAACCTCCTTAAACAGACAATAAAGCACCCGAATTTAATATCGGAATAGCCTTATATTTATTAGACCGAACGCTCCTCTACCTATTGCCCCACTATCTAGAAGCTAAGGTAGCAAGGGGGTGTATTAAGGAGAGTGGGCATAAGAGGCCATAGTTATGCCTAGTAGACCTAATAGTTATATATAAGGAAGCCTGCCTAACTAATATAACTCCCCTAGCCTAAGGACATTATGCAGGCCTAACTTAGGTATAGGAACATCCTAATGCCCTCTTTTGGCTAGTTATATATGGTCACTATACCTATATAAGCCCCTCCCTTGTCCCAATGGATAGACCAAGACATGCATCACTAAATTCACCTTTCTGTGCCCCTATTTCTTCCACTGTGCTCTCAAGCCTCTGCTTGAGAGTAACTATAAGAAGACAGAACTTCTCACATTCATTTAGACAGACGACAATGAACATTCTTTGACTCTTACCCTACCTTTTAATATTTGCGAGAAGAGAATTGGTCGGGGTGAAAGAGCAGCTAGATCAGCTGATGCAAAAGCTGGATGTATCGGACGAGGTGGCTTTGCCAAGTGGCCCTCGAGCATCGTTTGCGGACGTATTCCTGCTTTTACGACCCGTCGCTCACGAGACGGCCTCGAAATTGCGCTGCAGCGTCGGTCTCGCGATCGCCGTTTCCAATGCATCTCTGTATGTGTTTGTCCGTTGGTCCTTCATCGACTTGCATACTGACCATAATCTGCAGGAGAGCTTATATGTGAGTCATCTGCCCACCTGTCCGCCGGCAAGGTCGGCAAACGGTGTTGAAGATGAGACAGGGCAGCATCTAGGAATATGACGGGACAAAGGCCATTGGGTACAGCCTCTCTCACCGCTTCTTTAACTAGCAGTCCTACAAGGACACCGACCGCACTCTTAACCCTAGGCGGGACCAAGAGCTAATGAGCTACAAAACTCCGCCTCCACAGTGCATGCCTGAAGGCAACCGGAAGATCGCCCTTAAGTCACCCCGCGGTCGCAGACCCCAGCGCCGGTGGCGAATTTGCCCATCTCGTTTGCTTGGAAGACCGAAGAGGTATATAGTGCCGAGCTGTTATTACCTATATCTCGGACTCGCCTTTACGTGCAGCGGCATTTTCGCTGCTTCGACCAAGATGGATTTTAACACAGCCCATGCAAGGAGCGCCCGGGTCAGCTATCAGTAACTTCGTTCGTCAATGGCGGTGAGACACCTCGACCTCTAGACTAACGTTTCGTCAAAATGCACTTCATATGCGTACTTACTTCGAACGTCGTAACTAAGCTTTAGCGGCTAAAAAAGCAAAGGTTTCCTCTCGGCCCGTTAGCCCGTAAGGGGACGGGCCGATAATCACGGCAAAGCAAAGATGTAGTCTAGGTACACTAGGACATCATAGGTACACTGAGGACTACGTTTTAAGACCTACAGCAATATATATGGGAGAAGATGCAGTTATCATGTAACTTGGATGGCATATTCAGGTCGTGGTCCTTCTGCAGTCAAGCACATTCACCGCCTATCATATAACACTTCGCAGGGGCCCACGGCCTCTCACCGCAATTATCAGACGTGGTCGATTCGGTCACAGTTTATGCACCTCTAGAAAGCCATAAACCACGGCGAGGCCAGTCATATTTAGTCCAAGAGGGCAAGAAGAGAAATGATTGCAAGCTACGCAAGATACTTCATTGGAGTCTTGAAACATTCTACTTATTTCTTCGGGATAGAACAAGCGAACCGGATCTCGTAAGAAACGAGAAAGCCATGGCTACTGCAAATCCAATGAACGTCTTCAAAGGCCCCGAATCACTGACCCAGTACTATGATCCAGATCAAAATCCCCCATTGCCGCTGGTTGAAATCCCTAAGCGCCTTAATCCTCTGCGTGAAGATGGCGTCCGGATTTTCGCAAAGATACTCACGGCGTTGCCAGCCCAGAATGTTAAGTCTTTACCTGGTGTGTGTAACTACATGTAGTCATCGCGCAACCCACTTACATGTATACACTGCAGTGCTGAACATGCTTCAACAAGACCCCGATATAAGAAGCAAGCCTCTCGCAGAGGCAAGCTCCGGGTCCACCGCCATTTCCCTCGGCGTCATTGCCAGAGCACTCTGGGGCCATGAGGATGTTCATGCCCATGTTTCCAATAAAAAGCCTATCTCTCAGATGAAGCTGTTGAGGCTTTTCGGCATCAGCGTGTATGTAATACCCACCCCGAGAGTGCCCCGTCTAGCGTTTATTATGCAGGACTAACTATGAAATCAAAAGGGACCTATTTGGAGGCATGACCCAGCCAACGTACGACGATCCGAAAGGAATAATGGGAAGGTTGAGAAACCGGGCTACTCAGAAAGGAGATATTTTCAATCCTGGACAGTACCACAATGAGAATGTAAGTCGCGATTACTATTTTGATTCCACGAGATTTCATATCGAGGCAATTACTGACTCCCTTTGCTTATATAGAACTGGAAGTCCCATATTAGATGGACAGGCCCACAAATTGTAAGGCAACTACCTGAGATCAACGTGTTCAGTGCCACGGTTGGCACTGGGGGTAAGTACCATGTCTACCGTGCTAGAGCAACTACTCATATATATCCAAAGGGTGTGTTGTTGGCAATGGGAAGTATATTAAAGCTAAGAAGCCTTCTACCACGATTCTTGGGTAAGTACGAATCTCCTCACACGTACATAAAAGACATATCTGATACCAAGTTGCTAATAAATGCCAATTTAAAGCGTCTTCAATGCCCACGGTGACACTACTCCAGGGCCTCGACACCTCCCCGGCATGGACTGTGCCCCGTTCGCCCAGGAAATTTTCGAAACAATCGACTGTTACGAAATTGTGAAATCTGTCGACTCCTTTCGAACCTCCATGTCGCTCTGCCGCAATGGCATCATTTGTGGCCCGTCGTCCGGTGAAGCACTCCACGGTTTGCTCGCATACCTGAAAAAACAGCAGGCAGCTGGCAGGCTCGGAGACCTTGCCGAGCCAGAGACAGGTGAAACCAACTGCGTCTTCATCTGCGCCGATCTCCCATATCAATACGTCGACTTATACCATGCCAAGCTTCCAGAGGACGAATTCCCAAAAATATATAATGAGGTGCGCATACCTCTTAACTCATTGTTTTGTGCTCTAAACTTAGGTTTGCGTAAAGGAGCTCCTAGCCTGCGATTTGGATGTTTATGACGATCGATACCACCTCACACCACCACTTCTCATCGACCTCCTAGATCGAGGAAATCTTATCACCTCCATATTTTGCCAAGGTCTGTCTAGCTGTGACGCACTCCGGCAGTACGGGCCATCTTCAGGGTCTCCAGGGTCTCCGGGATCCAGCTCCGCTTCATCCTTGCCTAGCGGTAGATCATCATACAGCCAATCATCCACTGCTTGCTCACAATGTAGCTGCAATCCCCGCCAGATACTAGCGGTCATAGATTTCCGTTCAGAATCAGAATTTTCCCGGAATCATCTCCAGCATTCCGTCAATCTTCCCCTGCCAGATAGATCGGAAGACTTATTCGCGAACTCCATGGAGGTGCAAGAGCGGTGGATGGAACTTCAAGAGCAATTTAAGGAACAAAATCGGTTAATCGATCAAGGCGGAAAGATATTGCTGGTATGCATGTATGGCGATACATCGCGCATGGCAACGGCGATGCTTAGGGCACAGGGAAGGGAGGCCTATTGTGTAAAAGGCGGGTTTCGGAGTTTTTTATCGTACTTTAAAGAGGGTTAATGTTATGCTTCCATCATGAGAATTTAGGGCTCTTAATAGTGCAAACCGTCCACACTACTAGTGTGGACTGCTCGTTTCAAGTCTGGCTTGATCGAGTCAAAAGCAATTAAAATTGCATCCTACCAATAAGATTTCTCATCATTTGCTTTTGTCACGATTGAACCATACTTAGGACCAGCAGTCTAGGTTAATAGTGTAACCGGTTTGCACTATTAAGAGCCCTGGTCGAGGAAAGTCCAAGTTGCTGCCGATATGCGACGAGGGCGACAAGGAAAGAGACAGGTGAAATTGAATGCGTGAGGGTATCGAGAAATGAAAATGTCAACAGCGGCCATGAGGAAATGGCGACGCTTGAGAAGGTCTGGGAGCTGCTGGGAGAGTATCGTGCGGAATTCCAAGGATTGAAGGAAACACTCAAGGAGCAGAATAAGATCATCCGCGATTAGCAGGAGATAATCCGAAAGCAAAGAGGAGAAGCCGAGAAGCAAGAAACGACCAATCGAGAGCTGAGCCTTCATTTGGAAGTCATCAAGCAGCAGATGAGCGACCAACTCAAGCATGTCTAAAAGCATCTCGAAGCCATCGCCGTGAGCGCAGTGGCTACCTCGCCAAGCACTTTCGCTGAGGTCGCGCGTTTATCGCCGTCGCCACGACAGAGCACTGTCCAATCGCGCCCGTCCGGTAGCACTGTGGAATCCAATGCGAACGAGCTTTTCTGCATGATCGACACATCACAAGTAGAGGCCAGGCGAGGCCGAAGCACGAAGCCAGCGCACTGTTCCTACAGTGGATAAGGCCGATCCTACGGGAGCACGAGGCAGCGTGTCGGAAGGCAGCAGGGGGGCGCTGCGAGAGCTGCGGCGAAGTCGCAAAGGACATTCTACAGAGCCCGATATCTTACCTATATGCAGAGAGGCCGTTTGTGTTCGTGATCGTGTCGTCATTCTGCGGCCAAGAAGGATGCGAAATAAGGGCGAGGCAGGAAATGCAGGACACGATGGCAGAGGCGGGGCAGGCGGACGGAAGCATGGGCGCAAAGCAAATGCAAGGGCAGGATGCACAGCACAGAGGGGAAGGTCTGCCAGGTTTATGGAGAGATGGCGGGGGCGAGGAGGTGCAGCCGATGCCTGGCGGTCGCGTATTGCAGCAGGCAACACTAAAAGGAGGACTAGAAGGTACATAAGAAGGGATGCAAGCCAAAGGCAAGCTAGGGAGCTAGGGAGGGGAAGCAAGCAACGCCGTCGAAGCGGCCTTAAGGCCAGCCTCACACGCCGCAACGGCCTTTGTAGAACCAACCGCCGACTTCGGCGACCCTCGTCCCTATGACTTGCACAACTAAGGAACGGAATATAAGATAACAAAGACGCCCTTTTCCGAGGCGCAACTATAGGCCCCCCGTCGCCGCTAAACGCAACTGAGAGGTGCGGCGGCAAGCTAGCAAGGAGAGAGAGGGGAATAGGAAGGAAGGGAAAGAGAAGGGACGAGGCGCAACGCATAGGACATTAACGAGGTCACGGAGAACGTCTAGAGGCAGGCAGTGTTATAAGAAACGGGTTCGCAAGCTAAAACTATCCTTTAATAAGGGGAGAAACGTAGTAATGCGTAGAGTAATAGTAATTTTACAGCGATAAGTTATATTAGGAATAGTATCCCGTTCTATTTTAGTAAAGGCAGGAGGCGTAAGAGAGCGATAGGTTTATAGTAGGCAGCTTATTTCTACATGCGATAGCGGAGAGGGCGAGCGGGCGGGTCGGAGGTGCTCGCGACGATAGAGTCGAGAAGGGAAGCCGGGGGGGCGGGAGCGGGAGCGGGCGGGATGCCGTCCAGTCGAGGCGAAGAAGCGGCTGGCGGGGGATAGGAGTAGGGGGCGGCGGGGCCGACGGTATTCGAAGACGAAGAAGGCGGCGAATGCTGCTGCTATAGTAAGCGCGCCCTCTTCATAGGCGTATCGGCAAGGGCCGGGTAGGAGCGCTTAGGCGGCGGCGTAACGGGGTCGAGGGCGGTCGGGGCCGAGGCCGAGGAAGGGGGGGCCGACGTGGCCGAGGCCGGCGCGGCAACGGAGTACAAGGCGGCGCGGACGGAATCGAAGGTAGAGGAGGCGGATGGGGTCTGGCGCCTAAGGGGCGTAGCGAGGGGTGAAGCCGAGTACGGCTAAACGGCGACTCGATAACTTTACTAGGTCCTTTAGACTCTCGGATATTTGCTGCTAACGCGGTTTTCCCTAGCGTAACTCTCTTAGATAGCTGCTTATTTAGTAGGAGGACCCCCTCGATATTATGCTCTCTAATAAAAGCCGGACTAAAGGTATTAGCGGTAAGCAATATAATAGGTGCTCGAGACTCTTTAAAGGTATAGAGGCCTTTTCTAGGCCTAGCGGCCTTAACGTGAAAACTACGTTAAATATAGTAGCAATCCCGATAGAACCCTATATAAATATTATACCGAGGTTTACTTACGTCGTACTTTATATACTTTTAGCGACTAGATTTATACGATATAAATAGCTTCTTCGTCCGTAATACTTAGGGCAGCACCCTAGTTAAGAAAGTATCGAAATAAAAATTAACCGGTATAAATACTCCGTCTTTATAAGCTATTTTATATAAAGACTAGCGATTACTTCTACCTATAGTTAGAAATGCTATTATTATTACGTAGAGCGTATACTTACCTACCGACCTTTATAAGCTACTTTAGTAGGACTTAACGCCGCGTTATACTTAAAGGGAGAACGCCTTTACGTAAGAGAGGATTTTAGTAGAAGTAAAAGCCGTATAAAACGATAGGCTTAGAGAATATAATAATATCTATACTAGGTCTTAAGTAAGGGAAGTATCTAGGAAAAGAGCTATTAAAGATTGCTAAGGTAGCTCTAGGCCTTTTATACCTTAACTGCGCGCTAAAAAGGGTACCTCTTATATAGCCTTATCGGGACTTAGATAAGGGACGGTTAGTTTGTAACTTATACGATTATATCTATTTTATATTAGCGATATATAGATACTATTACCGCGTAGCGTTCTTTAATTATCTAGACTAAGCTGCTATTTAATTTATAGCTTTATATATCTTTAATTTATAGATAAGCATTTTACTTTATCGACGCTAGTTTACTATTAACGTAATTGCGTTTCGCTCTAAGAGAGAAGAAATCTCTACTAAGCCGGTTCTTATTAAAGTCGCCGACCGCTAGGAAGGACTAGATAACCCTATAAGGTTTAATAATTATATCTGCTTTTATTAAGTATACCTATATATAACCTAGCTATTTACTCCTTTCTTAATTCTAGATAATAATAAGATTATTCGTCCTTTCTTAAGAGTATAGTTACGCCGATAGCATTAACTATAAGAAGACATCCGTTTTAGGTTATACGAAGATTTACTATAGCTCTTATATAACTTAGATCGGAGCTAGACTAGGCTTTTAATCTTAGCTTTATATAATCCGATAAGGTTTTATCGACTAGCTATAATAGTTAGTAATATCCTATTTACGTAGAGACCTAGATAACCTTTATAACTTTTAGATCGCTAGGATTGCCTATATCTACTAGCCGGAAGGTAGCACGTACTGCTTAATTAACTATATTAAGTCCGTTCGTTAGGTAGCCTTAGGTAAGAAAAATATAGAAGTCTTTAAGATAGTCCTTAGTAATAAGCCCGTTAAGGATTATATTATAAGCGCGTTAAGGGTATTTTATTATCCGTCCTATCGTAATAATAATCTAAATTAGCTCGGCTTAGTATACCTATACTAAGCCCTACTTATTTTCGCGTTCGTTCCTTACTAGCTCTATAAGCTAGTGCTAGGGCTTTAGGTGCGATAGAACTATATATAGTAAGTACGTAGCTTAGCGTAGTAGCTCTATAAGGGAACCCTCCGGGCGTAATATAAAATATTAATAATAATAAGCTAGTGCTAGACACCGTAGTAGCTAGTATATCGAAATACCTAGATTTTTAACTCTTTTAACTAGAATCGCTTTAATTATCGCGTTCCGCGCTTAGAATTATAAATTTCCGCTCGTCGCAGCCTTCTAGATGCTCTCTATTAATATGCCCTTTTTACTACGTCTTTAAACTACCGCCTACGGACGCTACGTGCCTTTATCTCTACGTCCTCGACTACCTTTCTAGCTTTAGCGACCTAGTCTTCTTCCCTTTTCTATACTATTTCTCATCCTTAAGCGACCGTTAAGACTCCCCTTAATTATAATTGCGTATTCTTTATACTTTTTCGTTGTTATTAGATATATTCGGCTAATTTTATCCTTCTTAGATCCCTTTTAGTCTATACTAATTCGGTGGCTAAGGATAGGGAACCCCGAATAAAACGACCTAAATCGCGAGAAAACTTAGGATTAAGATCTTTATCCTCTTATAATACGGTTTCTAGCCGATCTACTACTTTATTTATTTACCTAAGAGTTAATAGCGTCTAAAATAGTAAAGAAAATAGTTATATATAAGGGGGAGGAGTAAGCGTCCTTTATATCTAACGAGCTTATAATATCTCTAGTACTACTTATAGATTAAGAGGCTATATTCTTATTTTCTAGAACGTAGATTAAATTATACTCGATTTAAAGGCTTACGAGCTTACTTATTAAATATA